TGTAGAACATGTAAGCCTTCTATAACAAGTACTGGTTTCATTAAATATCTTTGTTTGTCTGCTATTTCTTCAGTCTTTTTCCTAACCTTAAATGGCATGGGTCATGCTCATAGAATTTTTGTTAAAGAATGCACTGAATCACTTAAAATTCAACCATGGTTTTTTGCTTTTTCAATAGTTTGGCAACATTTGAATATTTCCATTGCAAAGCTAAACTATCCAGCTGCTAGCTAAAGCTTCACATTTAAAACACAGACATGACGGACTTCCGGTATCAGGTCCGTCCCGAATAAACCCACGAAAGTCAACTACTCGACGAAAACAATAGAAAAAGCCGGAAATCTAATAAAAAGCAAGACAAATTAGGAGAACAACCCGAAATGGACAAATGCGCCGAAGCTAGCGAACACGAGGGAGAGCTAACAGAGACACCGGAGCCACGGGATACTTCTAACATAAGATAGGGCTTTTTGCAGATGATGACATAGCCTATCTTGATCAACCGAATACATCACTTCCGGTGCTTATGGAGCTTCTAGAAACATATGGACACCTTTCTGGATATAAAATTAATATTTCAAAAACACAGATACAAACACTTAACTACACACCATCAACAATGATTAGGGATACATTTAATCTTAATCGGGATTTAAAGCAAATCAAATATTTGGGTGTCATCATTACTAGAGGATTAAATAAAATATAATAATAATGATGCATTTTATTTATGGGCGCCTTTCAAAGCTCTCAAGGACACCTTACAGAGCATAATTAAAAACAAGCAACAAAGAAGATCACACAGTAATTCAAGACTTAAAAACAACAATCAGTTTAGAAAAATTATTAAGATATTGAATATGCCAGTTTAAAAAGGTGTGTTTTCAGGCTGGATTTGAAGGTTGAGAGTGAGTCCATATTGCGGATGTCTTGTGGGAGAGAGTTCCAGAGACGGGGTGCAGAGTGGCTGAAGGCTCTTGAAGTAGGAAGGCAGAGGAGGATCGGAGGGCACGAGAGGGAGTGTAGGTGTGAAGGAGTTCAGAGAGATATGGAGGTGCAAGAGTGTGAAGGGCCTTGAAGGTGAGGAGCAACACTTTCAAATCTATGCGGTATTTAACGGGGAGCCAATGGAGTTGTTGGAGAACCGGAGTGATATGATTAATGGAAGGAGTTCTGGTATTGATACGGGCGGCTGAGTTTTGGACCAGTTGGAGCTTACGCAGGGATTTGTGAGGAAGACCAGAGAGGATGGAGTTGCAATAATCAATACGGGATGTAACGAGGGCGTGGATGAGGATGGCGGTGCTGTTGGGTGTAAGTGATGGGCGGAGGCGGTTAATATTGCGGAGGTGGAAGTAGGCAGATCGAGTGATCCCTGGATGTCGCTCTTGATTCTCCTGATGTTTCTCTGTGATCCCTGGATGCTCTCTGATTCCGCTATTTTTCTCTGTCGTTCCCTGATGTCTTCGTCTGTGAGTTTCCCTGCATGTTTCTCTTGTGATTCCTCCTGATGTCTCTCTGTGATTCCCTATGTTTCTCTGTGATTTCCCTGATGGTTTCTCTGTGGGATTCCTGTGTGCTCTCTGTGATTCCTGATAATCTCGTCTTGATTCCATATGTCCTGCCTCTGTGATTTCTATGTGCTCTCTGTGATTCCTGATGTCTCTCTGTGATTCGCCTGGATGTCTCTTCTGTGATTGCTGATGTCTCTCTGTGATTCCCTATGTCTCACGTTTTCCTGATGTCTCTCGCGCTGTGATTTCCCTTGACTGTTCTCTTGTGATTTCGCTTCCTATGTATCTCTGGTGATTCTTGATGTTTCACTGTTTTCCTGATGTCTGCTCTGTGATTTCCTGATGTCTCGTGGGCTGTGATTCCTGGATGTCTCTCTGTGATTCGGCCTGATGTCGTTCTTCTGCGATTTCCTGATGTCTTCTGTGAGTTCCCTGATGTCTGCTCTGTGATTCCCGATGTTTCTCGTGATGTTCCCTGGTATGTTCTGTGCTGCGGATTTCGTTCGGGAGTGGGCTGTCTCTTTGATGTTTCCCTGGATGTCTCTCCCTGGTGATTCCCTATGGTTCCTGGGAAATGTCCTGGATGGTCTGCTTCTTCTTGTGTTCCCTGAGTTGTTCTCTGTGTTGCGGCTGATTGTCTTCCCGCTACTTGTGATTCTGATTGTTGTTGCTGCTTGCTGGTGATTCCCTGGTGTCCTTGTGCTTGCGTGGTTAGTTTCGAGTTGGTGTGCTTCTGCGTGGATTGTGGCCTGAGGTTGACTCGTGTTGTGATTCCTGGATGTCGTGGGGTGATTGCCGATGTCTCTCTGTGATTCCCTGTGCTCTTCGTATTGCTCGCTGTTTCCCTGTGTTGTTTCCCCGTGTTGTGCTGTTTTTTTCGTTGTGTTGTGTGTGCGGGGTGTGTGGCTGCTGGTGCTGGTGGATTCGCGCTATGAGTGCTGGTCTGTGATTTGTGTCGCTGATGTCTCTCTGTGGATTTCTGATGTCTCCTCTGTTGATTCGCTCCTGGTGTCTCTGGCGTGGGATGCTTGGGGGTGTTTCTCTTTGTGATTCCTTATTGTTGTCTCTCGGGGTGATTCCCTGATGTTTCTCTGGATTCCCGGTGTCTGCCTGTGATTGGGTCCGCTGATGATCTGCGTCGGGGGTCTGTGTGTGTGGTTGTGTAGGTTTTCGCGGTGGCTCCGTGGGATTGTTCTGTGGAGGTTCTTCTGTGGTGGGATTCCTGATGGTTGCTCTGTGATTTCCGTCTGACTTGTCTCTCTGTGATTGTCCTGATGTTCTCTCTGTGATTTCGCTGATGCTCTCTGTGATGTGTCCTGAATGTCTCTCTGGTGATTCCGCCGTGTGTCTCTCGCTGTGAGTTCCTGGAAGTCTTCTCTGTGGATTCCTTGCATGTCTCTCTGTGCATTCCCTGATGGTCTTTCTGGTGATTTCCTGCGACTGTCGGCGGGATTTCCCTGTGTCCTGCCTGGTGATTTCTGATGCCTTCCTTGGGATTCCCTGGGATTGTCTCTCTGTGAGTTCCTGATGTCTCCCTGGATGTCCCTGATGTGCGCTCCTCTGTTGATTCGTCTGGATGGTCTCTCTGTGATGTCCTGATGGTTCTCTCTGGTGGTTCCGCCCTGATGTCTCTCTGTGATGTCCGTGATGTCGCTCCTGTCGGCAGTTCACTTAACAATAACGTAAAGTTAGACTGGAAATGGACATAGAGGCTCTGTTGAATTATGGTTTTACGGTAAAAATCACAGTTTTTACTATACGGATTTCTGCCAAAGACCGCCTCAATAAAAGATGGTTTCGCGTTTCGGGGTCTTTGTTGGCTGTACGTGATAGAGGGGAAGAAGTCCATTTGAAACATTAATTTTGGTGTGTTAAATCAAAGTAAGTTCCGTGTGAACGTCGCAGGAAATTTATTGCTCCGCCACCTTTACAGAGTAGACAACACAAGAAGATGGCAGCGGGAAACCGGACGATTTGCGACGTGCTTGCAAACCATTGAGACGACCTAGTTGAGGCGGAGGTTGACTTGTGGGTACGTTAGTGACCGTACTCCTCCGTCCTTCCTTCTTCCTTTCTCCCTCTGTCCTCCTCCCCGGTCCGTCCTCCTCCTCACCGAGGTAGTCTTATACAGTCAGCTGCACGTTGAGGACTTATAGAGGTACTCAAGAAGTATTACTCATGTCACCTCGGGTTCGACGATAAAAAGGAACAAATTAGACTGCGACTTGAGGCACAAGGATCCAAGTCCCTAGAGCCCTCCGCCAAAGCTCGGTGCGCTGGACTTTAAGTCCTTTTTGTCTTTTTGTGAGGGAGAGACACAGGCTTTCATGCGCCGTGCGTTCACCGTCTCTCTGGTGGGTTTACCGAAGGAAGAGGGGGTTCAATCAAAGGAGACTCACTGGACTGCCCCTTAAAGTTTCCTGCCGTTGTAGTCTAATAAGGGGGAGAAATGTTTGTACGACACCATATCGCTCCGGGGGTAGAGCACTAACCGACTTTGTGGTTTATGAAAGGGGTGTTAGGGGGAGACCAAAGTCGGGGACCAAGGGTTTTTCACGAACTAGACACACAGACCATTCGAAATTTACGTTTATACGGACGAACGACCTGGTGCGGGCGGGGACTCTCGTCTTTAACCAAAATTTCCTGGATGTTTTTATGTGATTTGCCGAATGCTCTCTCTGTGATTTCCTGATGTTTTATGTCGATTTCCTGAGTGTCTCCTCTGTGATTTCGGTCCCCAAGGTTTGGACCAAGGTCCCGGGCGGCGTGGGTGGTTTTATTGTACGGTCTCTGACCGCCTGGGGGGGACGTTTTTAAAACTTACAGAAGAAAGGCAACAAAAGTAAAGGAATAGAGCGCGGGCATTAGTGGGTGAGGCCCCTTGGGGGGACGTGATTTCCTGATGTCTTCTCTTCTGATTTCCTGGATGTTCTGCTGTGGATTTTGCCTGATTCGTCTCCTCTGTTGATTTCCGATGTCGTCTTGGTGATTCCTGAGTGGTCTCTCTGGTGATTTTCCCTGGATGTCTCTCTGGTGAGTTCCCTGATGTCTCTCTGTGATGTTCGCCTGATTTTCCTCTGTGAGTTCCTGAGTGTTCTGCCGTCTGGTGGGGATTTCCTGATGTTCTCTGTGATTTTCCCTGATGTTGTGGCTAACCGACTTTGTGGGTTACGGAGGGTATGCTCGTAGAGACAAAGGTCGGGACAAGGTTTTTCACGACTAAACAACTACCGATCGAAATTTACACGGATTTCTCGGCGGACGACCGGTGCGGCGGGACGCTCTACTACCGACAATTTTTTTTGCGTTACCACGAGGACTTGTGAGTATTTGCACTTGGCTGTGTGTTTGTTAGCTACCACACTTCGACTGGCAGACTCGCCCGGGCTGGGTTCGTTCCTCGTCTCCTGTGCTTGTGTGCGGGTTGTAGGT